TTCTAAAGACAAAATTCACTTTTAAAGAGAGAAAATAGCATTTCCCCTGGTGCCCCTCTAACCAGCACACACACCAGACATCCATACACCAGGAATGTTTTAGCCTGGCTCTGTAGGGCTTTTGCTTGCTCTAGGCCTAGGGACTCCCAATCCTTTCTCTTTTCAAGTTGAAATTTTGAGCACTGCAACCAAGAAAAGTCGATAGTTGTCCTGTCAACACAGACAGTGGGGAGAATCACACATTCAGAGTTCTGGCTAACCACAGGACTAACCACACGCTGTGTTTATGAGCCCGTGATTTTCATTCACCAGAGAAACCTGCCTCAGCCACCCTTTCCCTTTAACAGCTCTCACTAAAAACCCTCTGGCTTTATTACCGGGTATATAATATTAACGTTTAGAGCAGGCCAAGGGATGGTGGCCTGTTTTAAAATGAAGAGTCCTTTTGAGGCTTAGCTTCTTAAAAGGGAGAAGAAGCAGATTCGTTCCTGTTATTTATATTCCTTTAACCTAAATGCAATTTTTCCTCCTCCCATTCTAAGCTGCTCTTTCTGAGAGAGAAATGGAAAGGAAATAACGTCTCCCTCGAGCGCTGTTTTTAAGGCCTCTCTTTGGAATGATGGATTATAGGCAGCAGTAAGAAAAAAAATGTGCCGGCATGGTTCTCTGGAGAAGGAGTAACACAAGCTGGAAAAAAATGTAGTTCAAAGAGAGCAGTGACTGCAGTCACTTCAGCAGAGCCTCTTGCTGTCCACTGCGGCTGTACATCCTGCAGTGTCTCTCAGTTGTTCGTGAGTAAGTATTGTTACACATGTGCACACAGAGTATAGATAGGCTCACACCCTCAGAAAGACAAGGAGAACCAGGAGAGATCACCCAGACCCTGGCCCTGCACAGTGCCTGGCGCGCAGTGGGGCAGCAAACACTGATGGGATACATGAGTTGCTTTGCTGTAGAAAAGATGTCGCACAGAATCAAGTCCCAGGCTTTCAATTTTGTATTTTCTTTCTTGCTTTGAGAAGCACGGTGGCATATGTTGCCTCTCCTGGCATTAATCTATTTTACATTTTATTCTTTTGACTATTATCTTCACACAGATGATTCTTATCTTATTCACCTTTGGATCCTTGTCCCTAGCATACTATCTGGCATGTAGTTTATGGACAATAAAAGCTTATTAAATCACACAAACGCTAAGGGGGAATGTGTCTAGAGTTAAAAGAGCAGATGAACAAGAAATGAAGCTTGGGCATTGGGAAAGGTGAAACAAACAAAGAGACAAAGAGTGATCAGAGGCAGCATAATTCTACTTCATTAAAGAATGTGTAGCACACTTTATAGAATTGTTAAGCACATGAAAGAATCGTGAAAACACTGACCATTTGAAGAAGATATTTTGAGAATTAACACAAAAACGGCTTTGGAATATATCCCTAGACACAGTGCTTAATGAGTTGATCCCATTGGGAAACCAAGGCCAGGGGCAGAGGCCATAGACTAGGACCCAGATCACTGGATGCAAACAATAGACACCAACTTGGCTGACTTGGCAGAAAGGAAATTGATTGGAAAACCAATATGGAATCCACAGAAGCAGCCGGGAGGTTAGGGAATCTGAGATTGGAAAATAAAGAGGAGTTAAGAGAGGCCAGGCAGCTAAAAATGCATCCAAACTCATACCACAGGAATGGTTTGGTGAGAATACCTCTGCTGGTGTGCCCACCACTGGACGTCCCTCTGAGCTGCCAAAGCTAGCCTTCCACCACCTGGCCGTTTGCATCTCTGCCAGGATTGCCAGCCCCAAGGGGGAGTAGCTGATTGATGGCGGGTAGGCCAGGAGGCCGAGAGTGGGAATATCTGCCCTTCTGGCTTCCTGCACCCCTGAGAGTCCCCGTGAGCTATCCACATGCTGGACAGCCAATACATCTCCACAACCCCCGGTTTCTGGGATTCAAGCTCCACTTATTCCTGCTGTGTGGGTCCCTTAGGGGGGTCATTTCATCTCCCCCTTCTATGTCCATAAAACGTGCTGAAATTTTTAAACCTGAAATTCTTCACCCACAAACATTCAACTAAAATCCATTGAACACCGACCACACACCGGGCGTTGTTAAGTGTCGACAACAGAGTGGCACGTACGACAGCACGGTCGCTGCCTTCACAGAGCCGACACCACAGTTAAGGAAATTCTGGTGCCTTAGGACAGCGGTTCTCAACCTGTGGGTCGCGACTCCTTTGGGGGTTGAACGACCCTTTCACAGGGGTCGCCTAAGACCATCGGAAAACACATATATAATTACATATTGTTTTTGTGATTAATCACTACGCTTTAATTATGTTCAATTTGTAACAATGAAAATACATCCTGCGTATCAGATATTTACATTACAATTAATAACAGTAGCAAACTTACAGTTATGAAGTAGCAACAAAAATAATTTTATGGTTGGGTCACAACATGAGGAACTGTATTAAAGGGTCGCGGCATTAGGAAGGTTGAGAACCACTGCCTTAGGAGAAGGGGAACCAATGAAACTTTAAGAACTCAGTAAATGCCTCCAATATGCACAGTTCTTTCACACACATCACTTACTTTCTTTCATAAGAACCTCACTCGTTTTTCCTGATGAGAACAGTGAAGCTATGAGAGTTTAAGTCACCGACCCACAGACAGGTCTTAGCAGAGTCAGGGCTCAAACTCCAATGGGTGCACTTTCTAGCACCCCGGTGGCAATGGCGAACTGGGGAGCTTACCTCTGCTGGTTCCTCACAGACCAAAACTCTCCATGCTCTTCAACACTGGAAACTGAGGTGAGACCTTTCCTCTACAAGCATACAGAGCAGTGATGGCGAACCTATGACACGCGTGTCAGAGGTGACACGTGAACTCATTTTTTGGTTGATTTTTCTTTGTTAAATGGCATTTAAATATATAAAATAAATATCAAAAATATAAATCTTTGCTTTACTATGGTTGCAAATATCAAAAAATTTCTATATGTGACACGGCACCAGAGTTAAGTTAGGGTTTTTCAAAATGCTGACACACCGAGCTCAAAAGGTTCGCCATCACTGATATAGAAGCGTGTGTGAGACAATGTGGGTCATCCACAAAGTCACATTTCAGCACTGGCTGAAATGCTTTTTGTAGTTAAT